CCACATGTACAACTCTATCATAGGTATGTATGTGTCAAAATCAAGTTTAGGATGGAAAATTAATTTTAATCTTGAAAATTAATTTGAATAATGGAGAGAGAATGCATCTCTATAACATAGCCATCTGGACTGGATGGGGAGTTTGCCTGCCTTTTCATACTGATGTCCAATGGCACATTGCTGCTTATAAAACTGTTTCCTCTAAAAGTACAACGCTATGTTCTGCTTGTTTAAGGAGCTTTTTATAAAGCAAACAAAAAAGAAAAGAAATTGATTCTGTGCCAATACGTTTTCCAGCTCCTGTACAGAAGGGGACTGAACCAGTTTATAGTGAAATCAGAAAAGCTAACAATGGTAAGTAAGCTAGCAAAAAACTAACTACATGAAGGAAGTTTGAAAGCATTTTGTATAAAAAGATCAGGGGGATAGGTCTGTGAGTTTAGAAGTAATTGGTGTAAAAGTGAAACATGGAGACCTTATGGAAACATCCTAAATAACAGCTAAAAAAACGTAACTGTTAAACTCCATAGCTCCCTCGTACTTCCTGGAGAGTAATGATCTTAATAGGGGGAGAATAACACCTAGAACATCTGCTCCATTAATCCATTTATACTGTATTTGACAAATACATCTGCTTCAGCTATCTGAATCTGAATTTGAGCTTCCTCCAAATTATGGGGTTTAGGATGATCTGTTCTGAGTCAGGCTCCTGTCCCACTGGGAATCCTTTGACTTCCCAGGTTTTTTTTCTTGCTGGCACGCCTTTTAGATGCTCTAGAATATTACTTATTTCTGGGAATTTCTTCTAGGTGACATAAAATATTACATATTTCTGGGCATTTCTTCTCCTGTCTCCATGATGGTTATTTAAAACATAAATAACCCCAGAACACATTGGTATTTGAAGCAAAATTATCACATTTGTGACAATACAATCAGAACACCGTCCAAACTGGGGACACCAATTATTGCCTTCTCCCAGATCTGGAAGGCAACAAAAATTCTTCTCTATACCTGGATCTCAGCAGCTCTCTTTCTGCCAGTTGCTATCTATAGTTGCTCCAGTGGTACTGAGTTTCCAGAGACTGAGAGTCTTGATGCTTCCTGTGAGTTTGTCAAAGACTAAATAAGAGCGGATATCCTTCCATCTCCTTTGTATCAAGGAGTCTCCATTTGTAAATGTCAGGGCTGTTAGCCAGTCAGCTTTTCTTTTTCCTCACCATGTGGCTTTGGTGGATTTCACGCTTTATTTCTTTTCTCATGTTTGCTTTGCTGATTTTCCATTTTTATCTGGGATTTCTTCCCCCTTCCTGCAGAGGATTTCCATACTTCTATAGAATCTTCCATTTGAGGATCTCATGGTACTTTACAAACATTACTTCATTTTCCCCTGTGAGGAACAGTCAAGGTCATTTTTATCTGCATTTTACAGCTGAGTAAATAGAGAGATTAGGTAATTTGCTGACGGTCCCACCAGTTGGACCATGGAAAAGCTGAAACTAGAGACCAGGGATCCCAGTGTGTTGCTCAACTCCTAACCTATGTTCCCTGCTCACAATCTTTCTTTCCCAGAAATGAAAAATAGCTGTTAAACCAAAAACCAGCATTGGGTACTTGACATGGAACAGCCCTTGCAGCAGTGTATGGAATATGCTGCACGTTTTGGACCACAACCCAGTGCCCATTGAAACTGAGGGAAAGTCTCTCACTGAATTCAGGTTTTGGATATGGCCCTTACTGAGATGCATAAACAGAATGTGTACTTCTGATTTTCATTGTGCCCAAGTGGGAAAGCCAGAAGTATTATGCCTTTCATGATGCCTTTCCTCTCCCAGAATGGAAAGTGCCTCATGGACTGGAAAGACCCTTTGCAAGATCAAATTCATCAGCTTAAGTGTGCTAGAGGGTGGTTTTATTCAAGGCCTTTATAAAACTATATTTATTGTAAAGCAGGAAGTGCAGTGAAATGAGATTCAATTGAAAGTCTAGGTTGAATTAGACAGATATATGCAAGCACCCCTTAATCTTACAATCCACCTGCTCCTTTATGCCTAACATACTACAAATTCAGTTATTTTTGGAAATGTAATAACAGTGTATTGTTTTAATCACGTCTGTTTTTCCTGACTGATACACAGGAAAAGTGTTTCAAATAGATAAGCAGGACATCACACGGGTGTACAATAGTTTTGGATGGCTACATTACATATCTGAATATAATAGTTACTTTATTTATGGAGTGTCTGCATGATACCAGTATAGCACAGCAAGGAATTGGGATTTGGGGTTCATAGAGAACCAGAACATCCACAACAGTTCAGACTAATGAATGCTTTAAAACCTAATCCTGCAAGATACTGGGGACCTCATAGAAAGAGCTGGGGACCCTTGACCTTCTTATCATTATGTGGTTGTATGGCACTTTGACACTCTTGATAGATAGATGTCCTTAAGTGCATTGTATTCTCTTGTACCAGTTACCTGGGTCACAGTAGCATTGTATCATCTATCTAGGGCTTTGCTAACACTTTCTCTGCCTGTCATTCTTGCTCTACCTCCCTCACACTGGTACGGCACAGTCTATAGCCTGATCCCTGTGGAACAACTGGGCAGACACAGCCAAAGGGTTTGTCTCCATTAGAAAGTTACTGTTGATTCTGGAAGCATGTAAATAAAGTGGAGTAGCTACCCGGAAATAACTCCATTCATGGGTACTTATTCTTGAAGATGAGTGCCTTGTTCCTGTTTAGCTGAATCCACTTTTGAAAGAGGAGAAGGACCTTTACAAAGTGGATTACAGTGAACAAGGATAAGGACCTCCATACATGAACCTATTTCCTAATGTCTCCAGGGACCAGAAGCCGTGATTTTCATGAACATTAAGGCCCCTCTTAATTGCTCAGGCAATAAGTGTAAATTATACTCCCTAGTGCAGAGGTTGTCAACTGGGGGTATGCATACCTCTGGGGGTACTTGGGAAGGCCCCAGGGGGATGTGGCGTGGCACTGTGCGCCACCGCCGAGTGCCACTGCCACACTGCTTCATGTTTGGCTGCTGGGGGGACCCCCCTGCTCATCGACTGGCCCCCAGTGGACCTTCCTCTCCCCCCTCACTTCCCCCCACTTCACATCCAGAAGCGGGTACCCACCAGGAGTGGTACCCACCAGAAGGGGTACTCTCCTCCAAGAAGGTTGAAAACCCCTGCCCTAGTGTAATGCATAGACAGGTGATAGACAGAGGCTGCTGTTCTGACTTCTGCTGTCTTCTCCCTTTATAAAGTTTTCCCTTTTCTCTGTGGTACGGAATTATCTGCTCCTTTTCTGTTTCTGTAGCTGACCATGATAAGGCCTCCTTCTCTACTGCATGGGTTCCCTAGGACTGAGCACTGTGCAGGGCTTGTGGCTGCTGGAAAGATTAAATGGGCCCAGACTGTAAAAACTCAGATCTGCATTTCAAACTCACTAAAACACGTTTGGTTTTGGATCTGGGGTTTGGTAGAGAAAAGAGGCCAGTTGTGAAATTCAGCTCTGATCCAGCCCATCAAAGTTTAGGATCAAATAGTAAAACAGCAGAAGACTGTAATTTGTCCAGCTGGACTCTAGATTTCCACTGTACAGCATTCAGATATTTCATAGAATTAGGCCTGGAAGGGACCTCGGAAGATCACCGAGTCCAGCCCCCTGCCGCAGGGGCAGGAAGTCAGCTAGGTGTCCAAATGTTTCTTAAAGGAGTCCAGAGTAGGTGCTTGCACCACCTCTGAGGGAGTCTATTCCAGGCCTCAGGGCTTGGATAGTAAAGAATTTTTTCCTTATGGTTTTGGAGGAGTTTGTGACGCTTTGACCTTGTCATCCCTTGGGGCGCTCTGACATTGCCCCAGGTCCTGATGTACTTATAGCCAGCTACCAGGTCACCCCTGAGCCTGTGCTTTTCCAGGGTGAAGAGTCCCATGTTCTCTTGCCCTCTGATCGTGTGTGTGGCTCTCCTCTGGATTCGCTCAAGCTTTTCCACATCCTTTTTAAATTGCGGAGCCCAGAATTGGATGCAGTACTCCAGCTGGGGCCTCACCAAAGCCAAGTACAGTGGGAGGATGACACCCTGAGATTTACTTGAGAAGCATCTATGGATGCAAGCTAGAGTTTTGTTCTCTTTACCAGCTGCTCATGTTCATCTTGTGGTCAGTCATGACCCCAAGTCCCTTTCAGCCACGAAAAAGAACCACCAACCACAAAGGGACTTGAACCCCCAATCTATTTATCCAAAGGCAGACACCTTACCCATTAGGCCACACAGTCAGGGATAGCAAAGTGGAACAAAGTTGGTAGTACATTCATCTTGGCTTCAGGAACAGGTGGTAGAAGTGAAACTGCCAGTGTTAATTTAATTTTTAAAAAGCTGACTTGAAATGTCCAGGAAAATGACCCCAGGGATTAGTGTAAAACATTTTTAAATGTATCAAATATTCACTCAAGTAACTAGATTTCAAGGCTTTGTGGAAAATGCCTAAAACTAAGGCTCAGCCATCAGTAGACCTAAAATCAGTTGCACCTTTGGATGGCACTTCTGGGAAGGCTTCTTTTAATGCCCCTTCAACCAGTGTTTCTGCAATTGCAGATTTAGTATAATAAGGGGCCTCTGGCAGGAGGAAGGAAAGCACTGTGAATTACTCCATGATCCAAATCTTCTTTGGGAACGGTTTCATTGCAAAAGGAAAAGAGGGTCAGGGAAGATTCAGCAACAGATTCAGCTCAGCCCCACAGTATCCACCTTGCGGCCCTTATGTTTTTCAGGACACTCGGGAGTAATGATAGGTAATGGATATGTGCATTCCTGTTCCTCCCGCAGATGCTGTGCCTTCACCCTGAGGATCTGATCCAAAGATGATGGGAGGCTCCCTGCTGGCTTTTATAAGGCATTGGATCAGACCCTTGGTGGCATCGCAGAGCTCACTGCGATACTGTAGCCTTGGGGCTCCTGTCTGCTTTCTATTTTTAATTCTTCTTTGGGAAAAGGGAAATCTAATGAACATAATACACAGCCAGTCTCAGTGTCACTTACACTGGAAAAACGAATCCGTCACTTGGAGGCAGTTGCAGCGACGAGACAGGAAGTCCAAAGAATCCTGTTGCAACTGACAATGCACTGGAAAAACAAATATACCCTAGTGGAAGGAGACATGAGAAATCCCCACTGAACTGAGCACTTTGGAACCAGCTATTAGAGAGTGGCTGCAGTGATCAGGAAATTTGCTTTACTGTTTTTCTGCACCCAGACCCCAGCTTCAACACCTCAGTACTCAGCTGGGATTTCTTATTAGAGCTGGGAAAAACCTTGACAGCAGGGAAGTTCACTTGGTTTGGAAACTTCCTGGCACACTCCGAAGTTTGGCTAAGATGAGCTGTGTTTTGAGCAGCTCATGTGGAATAACGTGGAACCACCTGTAGTATGAGCCCATGCAAGTCCTTAACAGATCTGGCTCTGGCTCAGCAGGTAAAAGATTTGGACCTCAAGCCTGGATCCAGACTATCATTACACTGTGAGGAATTAAGATCCACATTTTGTAGTATTTGACTCGAGTTTCAGCCAAACATCAGGCAAAGCTTGGTGATTTCAGCAGCAGCTCTAAATGCACAGTTTCAGGGTTCATTGGGACTGACAATTTAAAACAAAATGCATGTGAACCCATAGGTAATGTCATCTTAATGCTTCTGCTAAGCTCCGTTGTACTTCTGCTACCAGTGCAATAGAGTGACCGCAAATTTACTTTGCTTTAAATGAGATCAAATTTGACCTAAGAGTTGTACCCTGTTCTCATCTATGTTTCACACTCATGCCTGATCTATGATTGAATTCAGCCGTAGCCCTTGACTGTTGACTTAGAAATCTCCCCTTAAGCCTGTAGGGACTTGCAAATTCTTAAATTCCACATATTCTTATGTGGGTAATAGCAGCCAAAGCCACACAGAGCTGGCATTTGTGCTATAAGGTCAGTTCAGTCTTTGGTTCCTGTATGCAGATGTATTCATGCAGCCTGATGCCATTCAGAATGAACAACAGGAACATACGTCCCTATGGGCTATGCCTGGGAGTACCACCATGTAGCGCACTCTGCCCACCTGCTTCTACCCTGCCATGCCACATCCCAGAAATAGGGTAGAAAAGCATATCCCAGAAAGGTGCCAAGCACCTGGGGTGCTGGGCAGATACTCCGTGGTGCTCTAGAGCAGTTACATTGCCTCATTTTGGAGAGCTGGTGCATGGAGTGGGAGTGAGCGAGCAGGGGATGTTTCATAGCAGCGCTCTTGGTCATGGTACAGAAGCAACATAGACACACTGTTAGAAACCTGTAAAAGCAGGCCAGCTTCTGAATACTCGGGAGCCATCTTAGTAATCACTCACTTTGAACTTCAGGCTCACTTTTCTAGTGCCTGTTACAGAGAATACATAGCCCCTTCTTCACCACTGTTCCACATGACCCCTGCTCCATATCCAGGATGTCTCTGCATCTTCCCCTGCCTCTCTTACTGGGAGAGAGCTCTGCCTGTCTCCTTGGAACTGCTAGCATCCCCCCAACCAACAATTAAATCTGGCTTCACTCAGATAACAAAAAGCTCTGTATATATATTCAATAGTTAAAACGGGAAAAATTGTAAAGCATTAACATCTTGGCATATGGTATACGAAAAGCACCATCTAGCCAGATTAGTTAGTGTAGTATAAACAACTCTATTTTAGTTACAGAATATTTGCTTATTTGCCTGGCTCATAACACTGCAGAAATCACTTGGCTTCTAACAGCCAAAACAATCCTTGGCACCTCAGAGGCAGTGTATGTTATTCCATGGCTGGGGATCTGCCATTTACATAGCAATCCAATTAGCTATTACCCGTATGATTTTGATCTTGTGTGATATAGTTATAAAAAAATGGAAGGTGCATTGTTGTCATGTATGACCTAGTAGCTTTTGATTAGCAAACATCCCTTCATATGAAGTTGGGAAATGTACAAAATTTATAATTTCCTCCTTCCTGGTAGCACAATACACAGTAACTAAGGATTAGAATGTAATTTGTTTCATCAATCATATGGATAGTTTTGTCCATTTCAAATTGGGCTTTGATCTAGCTGAGGGTAAATGGCATTATTGTTTTGCACTGTTAATACTTGAAGCACGCAGAAAGCTTTTGTGTATTTTCCAAGCAAGTTTTGATTTGCTTCTTATTAAACTGGATATGCATATTGGGCCCAACTTTATACTGGAATCAGTGGAGTTGCACTGGCAAGTTGGGTCACTCAAGGCGTTTCTACACATGTAGGTATGCACACCTAAACTTAATGCACCTTTGTTTATGGCATGTTAAGGCGATTCAGGTGCACATCTACACATAGATGCACTAATGTGCATTAAGATGCATTAAATTTAGGATGGCATAGCTAAATCTTATTAGTGCACGTGTAGCCGCGCTAATGCACATTAAGAGTCTATATGTGGGTTAATGCAAGTTAGCTATGCCATCTTAGCCATGCTTGGTACTTGCTTTAAGCAGGTATCAAGTTTAGGTGGGATTAGCCTAAAATTGCCATTTTTAAGGCACATTAAGGGCATGTACGTGTGGATACATGCCCTTAATGCACCTTAGAAATGGCAAATTTAGGCTAATCCTGGTTAAAAGGGCCATGTAGACAAACCCTCAGCTCCTTTGTAGGACTCCTTTTGTAAGACCAGACAGTTCTTAATGCAGAGTCTCTTATTGCAGAACTCTTGGCATATGAATGGATAGTTCATGCTGGTATTTATTCTGTATTCTAGACCAGGGCAGATAAAATATGGCCTGCAGGCCAGATCTGGCCTGCCAAGCACTTTCATCCAGCGTGCAAAGCCCCTCCCCCAACAAATTGTACCCTGCCGAGCCTTTCCACCCACAAGGCTGGGAGTGAGGTGCCCATGTGTACATGCAGCCCCAAAAACGTACTACATTGCTTCACTCCTACCTTTGTGGGCAGAAGGGTCTGGAGGGCCAACGTGCAGCTTCCGTGCAGGGCTGCTGCTGCTGCAGTCCCCAGGACCTGCTCGTTTCCCCAGTCTCCTGCTGGCTCTGAGCAGCGGGTGGGGCTGCAGCTGGGAGGGAGCCCGGAGCATGGGGCTGGGGCTGGTGGCAGGGTGGAGCCTGTGCCCAGGGAAACGGGGCAGCGACAGCACGGAGCTGGGGGGGGCAGTGTATGGGGGGGGGGGGGGGCCCCCCCC